GAGAGAGAGAGAGAGAGAGAGAGAGAGAGAGAGAGAGAGAGAGAGAGAGAGAGAGAGAGAGTGTGTGTGTGTGTGTGTGTGTTCATGGAATGATGGAGGTCCTCTAACACAACCTCCTGCAAAAATTGTTGCCGTCCCTGGGGGGCGGTCCTTAAAAAAAAAAAAAAAAAAGAAAAAAGAATAAACGTAAAAAATAAAAGTGTGCGGGACTCGAACTTAAGCTTTCGACTCCGAGAGAGAGGGTGTTCGTTGAGGGACCCTTTTCAGGAGTTGCTGCAGGCTTGCGCCGAAGCTGAAGCTGCTGCAGATCAGCTCTAAGCTCTTCTGCCGAGCCTCAGCTTCGTCCACCGAAAAGCTGACTCGACTGGATGATTATTTTTTAGCTCTGACCCAAAGGGGGACGAGCCAGCTTCGCTGCTTCAGGCTTCAGCACCCTGTCAACCTCCGGTTCGAACTCGTGGGCCTGTCGTGCCCCCGAGCCTCAGGCCCTCAGCTCCGTGCACCAAAGCTCACGATGATGGAGCTCATCAACTGAGGTTTCTTTTTTAACTCTAGTCCAAAAGAACGATACGGCTTCCGCATCCAGTCGACCTGTTCCAGCCTCCAGATCGTGATCGTGGGGAGCCGTGCCGTCACTGCCGTGGCCCAAAGAACCTCAGCTTAGTGCGTCGAAGCTCACAATCATTATGATGGAATTCATCGACTGAGACTATTTGTATTGGAGCTCTAATTGAATTTCAGGGGACTTAAAGCCTGTTGATGGGAGTGATACGGCTTCAGCACCCTGTCAACGTCCGGTTCGAACTCGTGGGCCTGTCGTGGCCCCGAACCTCAGCTTCGTGCACCGAAGCTCACGCTGATGGGATTTCAACGACTTGATCATTGCTTTCACCACTAACCCAAAACGACGATAGGGGCTTCAGCATGCAGTCAAAGTGTCCGAGCTCGTGGAGACGATATCTGCAGCATCATGTCTTTTTCTGGGTTTCTTGGCCGGCACCACGCACTCCACCGGTGGCTTCTGCAGCTTCTGCTTGATTGGCAATCAGCGGGTCCTTGAAATGAACTCTCTTTGTAACTTCGTCATCAAGTCTTGGTTCCTTCGCCGTTAACTCTTCGTGCCTTCGTCATGCACTCTGTTCGCGCGCGTTCGCCCTTCACGGTCACTCGTCATTTGCTCAGGCTGAGCTGTGCCAGGCTCATTTTGACCGATATCGTGCCTGCACGTAGACATGTCATTGAAAGTTCAGTCCTCACTCATATTTTTTAATGATTCTTTTTCGCGTGCGTGTGTGTGTGTGTG